CTMATAAAAACCACCAATGATCTTCTCCTTGTTGCCAACTCTGGTCTCCTGTCTATCCTCATCCTCCTTGACCTAAGTGCTGCATTTGATACAATCTCTCGTTCTATCCTCCTCAACAGACCAGAGACGATTGCTCTAAGACTGCAAGGGAAGCTCAGCTTCCCCTAAAATGTAAAAAAAAAGATGAAATATATACTGTTGTGTGTTCATGTCATTGACTAAATATGCGCTACAACGCGCTCAACTTTTGTTCAGAATCAACTTCTTATCACTGGTAATGACGCGGCTTTCCTGTCCCTCATTCCTGCAGCTTCACGGTGCTTTAAACAGTYGGACGCTGAGCTTCCACAGAGCTCCTTAGCGATGCAAAGACTGCAGCGAAACGAGACGAGTCATTGGATAAATGCTGGCTTTGTCCCGCCCATCGGACGCTCAGTGTCTCTGGGGGTCTATGGGGAAGTGGGATGGCCTCGGCTGGCTTGGACGCTCAGCTTCTGCATGATGATCGGACGATCTGTCAGAGGCTGAATCCCTTTTTGATTGACAGCTAAATGAGCGAATCAGCGATCTTTGGGTGTAAACATTCCATGGGAGCAGTTTTTACTTTCGTTTCTGTTCGGAGTTGAACCGGAGACTTTATTAATCCTTTTAGCGACATTTTCTTTGTTAAAAACGGCTAGCAACAAATCAAACTTCTATTTCTGGTGGTTGTTTTGTGGCTGCTTATGTTTGGAGACTTCTATCACTCTTTCTGAATTCTTCTGTCCAGCGGGGGCTGCTGAGCTTCTTCACTGTCACAGGTGGACACACTTCACACTAGCCTCACTACAGTCCCAGCTAGCTAGGTAGCAAGCTGCACATATGGCAGACAGTTTGAATGTTGTAGATTGGATTTTGGCGAAGCCATTTGATAGTCTTCCTTACGAAGAAAAACTTAGAGTTAAACAACAGGGCTGATCAACTCCTCAGATTAATTTGGTGCAAAAGTGGGGAAAGGTAAGATAAAAAAAACTTTTTATTGATCCCACAGTGGGGAAATAACAGGCCTTTTCAGCTGTCCTGGTATGACTAAGTGAGCTGGCTGCTGTAAAACACTATAGAATAATCTGGAAAATGATTGTAAAAGCATTGGATCAATTAATTCCTTTAAAAAAATGATCAAAGCAAAATTGTTAAAACAATTTGAAATTGTTTAATTTGTATGAGTCACTGTTTGAGGTGTTGAATTATTTGTTTTGTTTTATTATTTGGTTTATTATTGTTTGAAATTAATATTTTTTGTAAATAGGAGCAGATATCAAGATCTTTTTCTTCTTCTGCTGTCTTTCATTTTATTTTATTTGTATTGTTTAGTTTTATGTAATGTTTTTTTTAATGAAATGAATAAATACTATAAACTAAAAAAAATGATCTGTGACAAAGTCACACGGAGGGTAGAATTTATAAACAGACACGTTTTATTATGTAGGCGGAAATAGAGCTTCCTCTTCTTGAAAGACCAGCATCCGCCACTGCAACAGACTCACATCCATTCGCATCTCAGATACTGCRTTTGACTGGTTCAAATCTTGTCTTTCTGACGACACTCAATTCATCCAGATTGTATACACAGATAAAATCCTTCCATTCTCAGTCATCCCCCCGTTTCCACTGGTGTGCCCCAAGTCTTTGTGCTTGGACCCCTTCTCAAATCTCAAATTGTATTTTTGACTAGTCAAAATTCCTTTTTAAGATATCTTGAATTGAAGCCTGCATAGAACTCAGCGGTAAATCTGATGTCATTTATACTAGTCAAAATATAATTAGAGATATCTTAAATAACAAAGATGACTAGTCATAAATAAATTACAGATATCTGGAATGGAAGTGTCGTGAATCCAATTTTATGCTAAAATGGCTTGCCATATAGACTGAGCCGTTTCTGCCTTCTCCTCTCTGTCAACGCTCTCTGGTTTCATTTAAAAGAGTCGATCATCAGATATTGTCAAAGATTAACCTTCAGGGTGGATACMCAGACCAAAAGTTTGGATTCACCTTCTCATTTAAACAGTGTGCGACGCAGTAATCAAAGCAAAAGGCGGCTATTTTGAAGAACCTAGACATATTTTCAGTTGTTTCACACTTTTTAAGTACTTCCACATGTGTTAATTCATAGTTTTGATGCCTTCAGTGTGAATCTACAATTTTCATAGTCATCAGTTTGAATGAGGTGTGTCCAAACTTTTGGTCTTTACTGCATTTCACTCGCAGCCTCGCACCAATGACCTAGTTGACGTCATCATTTCCCCAGTATGCTTTGCGTGTAGATAAAATGGCTCTGTTCATGTAATATATTTTTAAGAATTGTGTTTAAAATTATAAAAACTGAACAGCCTACAGTATTTTTGCAGTCTTTATTTTACACTTAAAATAAATGTTTATCAAATAAAATCTAATATTGCAAATAACCGTTGATCATATAAATCATGGTGCTTTTCAATTGTCATGGAATATTCAGTGGCTTCAGAAAGTATTTAGATCTTCTTCAATTTTTGCAGGTTTGTTATATTGAAGCCTGGTGAAACAACAGATTAAATATTTTCTTAACAATCCACACAACGTAATGAAAAAGTAAAAACATATTTAGACTTTTTGCAACACATAGACTATAATTTAGCCCCGGTGCCATTTTTCTTGACTTGTGTTGAGATGTTTCTACATCTTGACTGGAGTCTACCTGTAGTAAATTTACGCTGACTGGACATGATTTTGAAAGGCACACACCTCTCAGGGTCTTAATGCACATTAAACCAAAAAAAGAGCCATGAGCTCAAAGAAACTGCACACGTCACAGTAGATTGTTGTAAGGCATAGATCTGGAGTTTGCTACAAAAACGTCTGCTGCATCAAAGGTTCCCAGTAAGACARTGACCTTCATAATTCTTATATAGACAACGTTTGACACGACCAGGACTTTTTTAGGAGCTGGTCACTCAACAATACTAAGTAATCGAGAAAACTAGGTGTTGGTGAGAGAGGAGACCAAGAGCTTGATGGGTACTCTAACTGAGCTTAATAGTTTGTGCGCAGAGAAGAACTTCAGTTCCAGAAGAACAACCAGAACTGCAGGCCTTCACTAATCTGGGCTTTATAGCAGAGTGACTTAACAAAAACTGMCCTTTAGTGAAAAACACTTAAAAAACAAATGTAAGAACTTTTCTGAATGTGAAGACAAACAAGCTTGAATTCATCTTAGAAAGTGAAAGTATCCTGACTGCTACAGGAGACCCTTCCTGCCYGCAGCCGTATCTGTAACAACTCTTTAAAGAAACAAGGATCATTTGAGTTACAACTAAATTTTATTTCCCTTTRGTAAAGTAATTGTATGAATAATTCTGTGAAACAATACAAAAAGTATGTATTTTAAAAACAATGGCCATGTATAATCTGTCCAAACAACCCGACAGATCTATTATTATAGGTAAAAAAGTAAAAGGTTATCGCAAACCTTGAAGTTCAAATGTCTTTATTATTGGACATAAAAATGAATCACACAGTAGGCTGAAGGATACGTGATTTATTAATGTGTATTAAACATAAAAACATCACAGTTAGTGCTGTTGTTTTAAGACACCTAATCCATTTTTCTTTACCAGATTAAAAAAAGGCTATCAACTCCCACTCTTCAGGGTGCCTTCTGCATAATGCTTGATTCATAACACTATGGCTCTAAAAATAAATCACCAAATAGCGATACTCAGTCTTAGCAACAAGATAAACCCCTCCAAAAGTCAAAACAAAATATGCATACATTCTAACACACATACAAACACACTATATCAAACACAATCAAAGTTGTGTTTGTTTATTTTCAAGTTGACAGAAATTGTTTTACTGATTGTTATTACAGTGTTACATCATTTTTTGATAGATCATTTTTTACTTCATAAAATACTATAGAATACCTATAATAGTCCTCCCCTTCCTAAAACCTGAAATGCATACACACAAGGTTGTCTTGTCTAAACAACACTGGCAAGCTCAATATGTTTACAAGATCTTAAGAAATGTAAATTGCTGAGCACAATTTCTTATCAAAGTAGGTGCAAAATACAATTAATTTTTTTCTTATTTTAAAATGCTTTAATRCAGGACTTGATAAAATATTGCTGTCATTCACAAAGAATTCATGAATGACAGTTCCYATGAGACCGCACCAATGAGACTGGGATTACATATGTCAGAGGTCCACTGAATGTACATTCATGATGACRCTAGAAATGCTGCTGTTTCTATCTCAAAAATGCTAATGCCGACTGATACCAAATTCTCAGTAGCCATGTTTCCATCAATGTTTTTTAATGTGCGTTTTGAAGTATTGCATCAGAAAAAGTGAATGGAAACGGCATGATTTGAAAAAACTTCCTCTAATTCGCAAATAAGTTGAAACGCTCGGTTGAGGTGGTTTTAGGTTTTTTTCGAAAAAGAGTTAATTCGCAAAAGGAGACTTGGAAACACATTTTCCGGATAAGTTCTGACGTTGCAAATATTTACCTCACATGGTTGAACAGCTGTTCCCGCTGTCTGTCCGATATCGGTCCTGGTAGCCGCGGCAGGAGGACCGTCCTGCTGTCGGTGTATTCTCTTATTCCCGTAAAGTGAAGAGAATTGCATTTCTTTCTCTATGTCTCCAGACAGCACATCGCCAAAACTRGTTGATAACAGAATAATTGCAACTTTCCCTATAGTAGCAACATGTTACTGATAACTTCTCTGCATTCTTTGTCCTGAGCTGTATGGACCCTGCAAGTTTGCGATGTTTACTTCCTGTTTACTACACACATGCATCTGACGTAACTGATTCGCTTCAAGCCAGTTGATGGAAACATGTCTGTTTCATATTTCTTCATTTTTTCCTTTTATTTAAATTTAAAATTTTAAAAATTTGCTCAAATTTTGAATTAAAATTGGATGGAAACACGGCTAGTGGCAGCTAGGCTGAATGTATCCCCAATGATCCTCTGATCCTTAGTCCCTGTCTTGTCATTGGTGCATGCACATAAAGATTGTAGAGTTTGTTTAAAAAATGGTAATATGATATGAAATGTTGCAGCCAACTAACCAGTTAAATAATTATATTGTGAATCATGAGTGTACTTTTCTACTGCCTTTTAGAGCCGATACACGAACCTGTAAATGTGGTGATTTTCAGTGACAGWAATATGGCACCTTCATCTTGATGTTGTAGAATTGCAGTTATTGTTTAGCATTTGCCAGTTAGTTGAGGTTGTTTAGTCGATTTATCTGTCACTGGTTTAGTTTAGGAAGCTTTATTTTGCTAAGTCACTGGCACAGTTAATTTCAAATGTAAAGAAATCACTTATCTTGAAGACACGAAGATTGATATCGCTTTTATGTGTTCTTTGAATATGAACATATACAGGGTTTGCTTAGCATAAGGCTAGCAAAAAACCAAAAATAAATAAACATTTTCCAGTTTTAACTGCCTCTCTTTATACTCACAACCAACCTTGGACTGTTCTGTTTAACACACACAACTAGCCACAACATAGTGACCAAACATTAAATATAAAGCAGATCATATTTATTGTATTTGTTGAGTCATTCCCAAGCAGTTTTGCTTGGCTCACTTCTGTCCCGCCTAGTTTGCATCTTTACTCATTTTTACTGGGAGTGATCATAATGTTATAGATATTTAGTGTACATACATGATGATTATTGTCTCTTCTTCTACCTCATCAGAATTAAGTGTTTCCCAAAATGTTGACCTACTTCTAAACTCATAAATGTGCATAATAAATGAAAATTAGATCAAAGAAGGCACCAGGAAAGTCGAGTCAGCAGTGAGTTAACGTTGAGCTCTAAAGAGTTTTACATTTGCTGTAGTAGCTGTATATTGTGCTGTCAATCCAGCTGCGGACTTTGGACACAGCTGTGTAGACTCCGGGAAACTGAGCCTCAGCACAACCTATTCCCCAGGACACTACTCCATAGACCCGGCCATCACACACAAGAGGGCCACCGGAGTCTCCCTGAAAAACACAAAAACAAAAACACTCATTTTTAGAGGCTCATTTGGAGGAAGTTGTTGAGAGATATAGATGGGGAGCAATAGATCCTCTTATTAAACAATAATCACTAAATAAATTTAAAAGGATAAAGGACCTTCCTGCACCGGGGCTATTCAGATTGTGGGTTATACGTTCATCTAAAGCAGTCGCCGGTCCATCAAGTTTTGTTAGGCACAKCCAAAKACMAGAGTATGAAAAGGCTATTTATTCACCAACACTGACATACTTCACTAATGGCCCCAGCGATGTCCTTTGGCAGCTACAAATCATGAGTATCTTCTCGGTTYCTCAAAGGGTCYAAACTTTACACAAAAGAATAGAAGCTGCTAGAATAAAAGAGATTTGTTTTTCTAACACTAATAGGCACGTTTACGCTGGCACAAGGTGGCACAGTTAGAAATTTAAGACATTAGAAAATGACCATGTTCGGGACTTGATGCTCATATTACATACTTTTTTGCAAAGTTTAAACAATTTATGTGATGTTAGACACCTTGTTTGTTAACCCTTTCTTGCTGGACCGACACATTTTCCCCAGCCTTTTACAAAAACAGTTAATATAGATGTCATTCAAGCAGTCCAAACTCCATTGTTTGAGCTATAGTAACCAAACACAAACTACCTGTTCCTAACTATAAGAACTAACCTAAATCAGTAAGACATCATGGAAGCACCGGTTTGACACACTAACAAAATACAAATGAACTGTTGTCAGAATAGTCTGAGGAATAGTCTGCATTAGTTATACTCTGGTCCACATTCAGAACAGTGATGGGATGTAAATAATTTGTTTAGCAATAAGCTCACATTTCTAGAACAAGTGCCACACCTCATAACATCCCTTAGCAAAAAGTCATATACTTAAAGTTCATTTTAATAAGTATACTTAAATTTAAGTATTTCAAGTATACTAGGCACCATGTACTTGCAGTGTACTAAAAGTATACTGATTTAATACTTGTTTGTACTAAATTTGGACTTTTTAATTTGTAAAATATATACATTAAGTATACTGTTGTGTCCTTTTAAGTTTATAAACTTACCAAAAAAGAAGTATACTTTAAGTACATGTCATCAAGTATAACAATGTATATAAAAATCTATTTCCCCGAGTGTAAATTTATTTACCACGTACACTGATATAAGTATACTAGCAGTCTACTAACATGTACAGTATACTTCTTGGACTAAATTGGCCCACAATAAGTTTATGAAAGTATACTCAGAAGTATACTGAAAGTAATCTTCTAAGTATCCTTTTAGTCTAATCTTGAAATATACTACAAATAAACCAGTCTGTCTGAAAAGTGCAGTACTAAAGTTTATCTTGGCCAAAAGTTGAAACATTAGTATAGACTAAGTACTGTATACTCAAACTTTTAGTATACTTTTAGTACAAGCCAAGTATAGTGTAAGATAAACTTGGTTAAGTGTAACTCAGATAAGTACATAAAAAGTAGTAAGTATACTCTTTTATTAATTAATTAATTTATTTATTTTTGTTTAGTTTAAAATTTGTATTTTTAAAGGATACTTGCATATACTACTTTTTGCTAAGGGGTGTAGACCCCCCACTTTGTATTTCTCATGCTAAAACACACACACAGATAAATGCACACACTTTTTGAAGAACCAATGTGCAGCTCAAAGTTTTCCTCTTTGGCTGGACTGACCTGTTTTGGATGAACCGCTCACTTTGTCTAAAAATAACCGTCTCCACCAATTTTATTTTAATGTTTTTATTCCTGCATTCGGAGCCCTGTACATGTACGTGCTGCGTTCAGAGCTCATATGGCTGTCAATCACAGAACGTGTCCACGTGCTGTGCGTCGCTATAAAAAGCAGCAGCAGACAAGACAACTCCTGCTCTAACTAATCATCTTCACAGGAATGATGTTGTTATCATAGTGTGTAAAACTATTTTCTCACAAGGGTGCGCCCTGCATGTTGAACATCACGTGCAAACAGCTGAGCAGCTGTCAGAGCGCTATTAAGTAAAGATAACCCCACTATTTTTTTTAAAGTGGTGTCAGCACATTTTGTAAAACTGTCCCTCTAAGATTGTACAAAGTAAGAAGTCTTCTCACCTGACAGGCATCCATTCCACCGAGATTGTAACCAGCACAGATCATGTTTTCAGTGATTCTACCATTGAAGGATGAAGTGCTGTTACATGCTGCTGAGGAGGTAATTGGAAGCATCACAGTCCGAAGGGTAGAGGGAAGTGGCCCCCCTGTGGGGCTGGTGTATCCCCATCCTGACACTCGACACATTGTGCCTACTGGTATGGCACTGTCCTGTCTGGGCAGCAGAACCACGGAAACGTAGCTGTTCAGGTAGACCGGGGACTTTAGCTGGAGAAAAAGTGAATAATGTGTTAGATGAAATGGTAAAGCAACAACTAAAACCAATTAGAATAAAAATAAAGAAGCAGATTGTTTGCATTCTGTACCTTAATGAGCATGATGTCGTAGTTGTTCTTCTGGTAGTTGTACTGAGGGTGTGGTAGCAAAAACTGGGGTAAGACTTCTTGTTCTGTGCCTTCATAAACAGACAAAGAGTAGTCTCCTGCCACTACCAGCATTTTTTCCACCCTGTAAGGAAAAGAAGTATTAATTTGTCAGCCTACATTATCATTTATATGTAAATATGTTAAGTGAAGTGATGTGTTTTCATCATTGCATTCACACACAATGACAGAATTTCTTCATCTATCCCATCACACACACAAGTCTATCTATCTATCTATCTATCCATCCAGCCATCCATCCATCCATCCATCCATCCATCCATCCATCCATCCATCCATCCATCCA